AACCGGAATATTAAATACTTAATTGGCCCTCTCCAACGGCACTTAAACATTTTTCAAGAGTGGGCTGACACCTGGAAAATCAAAATTAATTCAGAAAAAACCAAATCCATGATAATTTCGAAACAAAGACTTCCCACTAACACACCCAAACTAATGCTCAACAACACCGAAATCCCACTTTCTAAATCTCTCAATATCTTGGCGTTATCATCGATTCTAGACTAAACTTTGTCGAGCACATTAACAAAATAATCTCCAAAGGAAGCAAAACAGCCGGCATCCTTTACTCTCTTTTAAACCAGAAAAGCAAGCTCACTCTGAAAAACAAAACTCTGCTCTACAAGCAAGTAATCAGGTCGCAAATATGCTATGCTGCCCCCATCATTAGCCAAACCTCCAAAAAAACCATAGGCAAACTCCAAATCCTCCGTAGGATGACAAGACCACCCTGGTACGTCCGTAACTCACAAATTCACGCAAACCTTCAAATCGAAACCGTGCAACAGTTCGTCTCAAAGCTCCATAAAAAGTTCAAAACTCGCGTCTTTAACCACCCAAACCCACTAATTAAAGACCCGTTTTCCCAAACTATCCCAAACCCACGCTACCTAACCCCGACAAGTCTAATGGCAGACCCCCCCCTGGTATCACCCGCCTTAAGCAGGTGATTCCCGACATCTCAAACCTCCTGGAAAATACCTAAACTCTCTAACTCTTTCAAATTTAAAACTCAAAACCAACCGCCACAAACCACTACGTTTCTCGCTCCGTTCCCCTACTTTTTTTCTTTTCTTCGTTCGCTCTCAGTCCCACAAACTCCCAAAACCCACACCCCCAACCCACCAAGGCTCTTGCAGGCTACCAGCAAAGACAAAAAGCCTTAAATGGCTATGTCTGCGTTAAACATCAAGTCACAGAGCAAAATGGTACTGGACTTTCAACGCCGTAGTTCACATCTTTCCGCTACCGGCCCGATCCGTCTCCGTTTTTGTATCCGATCATCTTCCGATTTTGTTGGCTATTCGATGGGTATTTGCTATCCGATTGTCGGAAGGAAAAACGGTCCGCATTTCGGGTTTTAATCGACATTTATCTACAGTAAGCTGTAGATATTTAAATATTTTGATTGGGCTTACAGAATTTTACTGATAGAAAACAAACTCAATTATTAATAATGAACATGATTCGTCGCAAGTATTAATTTATATTACTGTTTACACAGCAACTGTATGTAAGGACTCTGGCAAGGAATATTGGAAAAATAACTACTAAAGTGTACATTGTAAACTGTTCATGGAAATTTATTTACTACTTCAGGTTTTACTGTTTTAATTAAACCCGTCATTTTGTAGACATTTTTATTCTCTACAAATCATCTCGTTGGGCATTCCGATTACTCCATTATTATATAATATTATAGACCAAAATCGCGTCTTTGGCAATAAATTGTTAACATATGGACCGGAAATACGAGTGGAAAACAAATCCCTATTAATCTGATTATTATATTTTATATAATCACACAATTAGTTTGCTACTAGTATTTTTGTCACGTTAAAGCATTTTTAAATATCATGTTAGTTTGGCTTAATTCGGCAAGCTATAGTTTCCTAATAGAGCCTAAAACATAAAACTAAGTCTTATATCTAGTTCGGCTTTCAGTTTTCGATATTCAATGTAAACCATCCGAGTGTCTATATGAAAAACGGTAAAGCCAATTAATACATTTGGACTTAGTCTTAGGAATAGTTTGATAATCTGTGATTTGCACTCGTCCAAAAATCGGAACGGAAACTGAAACGCGTATGACGGAATGTTCTCTGATCGGAGTCGGATCGGAGTCGGATCGGATAGATGTGTACCGGCCTTAAGCCTGTGTCCATACGACGGTACGATGATACGAAAGTGTTTCTATTGGTTGGAGGTCTGTCAATTCGTCCGCCGTCTTACGAACTGATCTTACGATTGACAGATCTCCAACCAATTGAAAAACGTTCGCATCATCGTACCATTGTATAAACGGATACATGGCTTTACACGCCAGCTGATCTCGAAGGGCAACCATAAAACTCACTTTTCATTTTTATTTTTTTTATTTATTTCTTTATTTCAAATTACATTCTGATACATGCACATGTATAAAAAATACAAAATGAAATGGCGTTAAAAAACAATTGACTAAGGACATATTATACTAAAAGGTACTGTTGTTACATATTTAAATAGTCTCTAATACTATAAGGCTCTAACTCAATTAACATCTGTTTTAATTTATTCTTAAACAATTTTTCAATTCTTACTTTTTTAATGTTGTTTTCTAGTTTATTAAAGAATTTTATACCCATATAGTACGGACTCTTTTCAGACAGTGTTAGTCTGTGTGTTGGATACAAAATGTTTCCCGTGCGGGTGCTATGATCCTGGTTAACGTTGTTATCGTGTAAATATATACTCTTAAAAACACATAATATTGCCTCAAAAATGTACAGACCGTACACGGTTAAAACACCCTTTGATTTAAAAACCCCTTGACAAGACTGCA